TCACTTTAATTTGCCCTTTAGTCAGCTGTGAGTTTGCGATGCTGCTTTCACTTTGCACTTCACTGTTCTGCGAGATTTACTTTGTGGCCCTGCTTTGACAAGAGGGCGGAGTCAAGAGAACTTGGGCGTTTACAGCCAGCCTGGACCTGCCTCCATGTAACCGACGTCATCAGAAGGACACGCAGTATCACTGAGCTGGTCTTACAGCAGAGTAGGTCCGGGAATTGCAGTTGACGGGTTTTGTAAAGGAAATGCTAAAAAACATGTTTTGCAAATATAGAAAGCTTTATTTTTAATTGCAAATACTTTAGTTTTTTTTTTTTTTTTGCTCTGCTTGATTTTTATTTGCAGATCTTTTTTGTTTGTTTGCAAATTTCATTTTTATTTCTCAAAACTTAATTTTCCACTTTCAGTTCTTTGTTTTTGTTAGAATAATTATTTTTATTTCTTTATTTACTTTAGATTTGCATTTGTTTATTTTGTGCTCAATACTTTATATTTTGTTTGTAAAACTTGCTTTTATTTTGCAAGTATATATGGCAAATCTATAAATACCCTAATTACCCTAGTGAAGCCTTTACATGTCAATTTAAGCTGAACACTAGTGTCTTGAAGAATATCTAGTCTAATATTATTTACTGTCATCATGGAGAAGAGGAAATAAATCAGTTATTAGAGATGAGTTATTAACACTATTATGATCAGAGAGATGTGTTGGAGAAATCTGCTCTGTGTTAAACAGAAATTGAGGAATAAAGTAAACAGGGGGGTGAATAATTCTGAATTCAGCTGTGTGGGTTAGTGATAGTGACCTGTAAGGAAATGTGTGGCCAGTCCACTGTTCATTACAGTTTGATCTGTTATTCTATTTTTATTATTTATTTTTTGTGTTTTTTTGCTCTTTCTTCCAAACAAAAACAAAAATAAAGTAAATAAAATCTTTGCATAATGTAAAACAATGTAGTTGAAAGCAGATTAACTTGTAGGAATATGTTGACGTAACACACACATCAGCTGTAATAGCTCTGTCAAATCATTATTAGTGTAGACATCCAGCAGTGTTGAGCTCCTCATCATGTAAAGAGTTCAGTCTGGGTTAAACTGCGGCAAACTACACAAGCTGAGCCCAAATGGGTTAAACTCACTGCGACCACACTACTGCGCATCTCTATACACGCTCTCACACACACACACACACACACACACACACACACACACACACGCACACGCACACACAGCAGGGTTTTATTTTCCTCCAGATGATTGTGTTGCTGAAGTGTGTTTCTCTGATCTCTAATCCCTGGATTAACCCTTTGTGTGCTGCTGGGTCGTTTTCATCCGCTCTTCGCTCTCATTTGGCCTCGTCTCTCTCTGTGTTTCATCAGATGTGATGATTTCTGCTGACTAATCTGATTTTGACTCATAATAATGGGAAAATGCTTTGCATGAAATAAAATAAGCTCATCAACACACTGTGTTCAGACAGTGACTCTCCTTCGGTGCTGCTGCTGCTGACAGGTAAACCAGCATCAGTCAGTAATGCAGGAGTATCTGCTGTCAGGGCTCTACAGTCAGTAATGTGATTATGATGGAAGTCAATGGAGCAGAAACAGCAGCAGCAGCAGCACCAAAGGAGCGTCACTCTGAATAATCCACACGGGTTAAAGAGAGCACACACACACACACACACACACACACACACACACACACACACAGATCAGTGCATCACCGCTGCCCTCTGCTACAGTCATTAAGTAATGAAGATGTTATTTTACCTCATCTTCTTCTCCAGGTGATCATCATGAGTTGTCCGTCCTCTGGTCAGCCGGGTTTGTGCCCTCAGCAGAACACTGGCAGCATGTGGCCCACACAGCCCTGCCAACCCTGCTGGTCCTGCCCACCCAACCAGCCCAACTGGCCAGTAACCCAGCCCAGCGCATCACTCCCGACAACCTGGCCAGTGAACCAGCCCACAACCTGGCCAGTTCAACCCACTCAACCAGCTTGGCCAAACCCTGCAATACAACCCAGCCAACCAATGCAACCGGTCCAACCAGTTCAACCCAACCCACCGATGCAGCCAGTGCCACCAGTTCAACCAATGCAACCAGTTCAGCCCAGCCCACCAATGCAGCCAACCTCACCAGTGCCACCAGTTCAACCCAGTTTACCAGTCCAACCAGGGCCAGCAGTCCAGCCGAACCCACCCGCTCAACCATCCTGGCCTCCAGTTCCCTCCCCTACAGGGTACCTGCCCTCTCCAGTGCCCCCAGCCTGGCACGGCAACCCTGGACAACCTGGTTGGCCCGGACAGGGGCCCACAGGGGGAGCCCTACAGCCCTGGCCCCCCGCTCCAGTGACCGCTCCAGTGGTAAGACACCACACCAGTACAGCTAGACCAGTACATCTAGACCAGTACACCTAGATCAGAACGTCTGGACCAATACACCTAGGCCAGAACATCTAGACCAGTAGACCTAGACCAGTACATCTAGACCAGTACACCTAGACCAGAACATCTAGACCAGTACACCTAGACCAATACACCAAGACCACTACATCTAGACCAGATCATCTAGATCTGAACATCTAGACCAGAACATCTAGACCAGTACACCTAGACCAATACACCAAGACCACTACATCTAGACCAGATCATCTAGATCTGAACATCTAGACCAGTGCATCTAGATCAGTACACCTAGACCAGTACATCTAGACCAGTACACCTAGACCAGTACATCTACAGCAGTATACCTAGAGCAGTACACCTTGAGCAGTACACCTAGACCAGAACATCTAGACCAGTACATCTAGACCAGTACATCTAGACCAGTACACCTACAGCAGTACACCTAGAGCAGTACACCTAGAGTAATACAGCTAGACCAGTACACAGACTAGTACACCTAGACCAGAACATCTAGATCAGTATATCTAGACCAGTACACCTAGACCAGAACATCTAGACCAGAACATCTAGACCAGTACACCCACCTAGACTAGTACATCTAGACCAGTACACCTAGAGCAGAACATCTAGACCAGTACACCTAGACCAATACACCAAGACCAGTACATCTAGACCAGATCATCTAGATCTGAACATCTAGACCAGTGCGTCTAGACCAGTACACCTACAGCAGTACACCTAGAGCAGTACACCTAGAGTAGTACAGCTAGAGTAGTACAGCTAGACCAGTACACCAAGACCAGTACATCTAGACCAGATCATCTAGATCTGAACATCTAGACCAGTACACCTGGACCAGTACACCTAGATCAGAACATCTACACCACTACATCTAGATCAGTATATCTAGACCAGTACACCTAGACCAGAACATCTAGACCAGAACATCTAGATCCGAACATGTAGATCAGTACACCTAGACCAGAACATCTAGACCAGTACATCTAGATCAGAACATCTAGACCAGTACACCTAGACCAGTTCATCTAGACCAGTACACCTAGACCAGTTCATCTAGATCTGAACATCTAGACCAGTACATCTAGACCAGAACATCTAGACCAGTACATCTAGACCAGAACAAATAGACCAGTACACTTCGACCAGTACACCTAGACCAGTTCATCTAGATCAGAACATCTAGACCAGATCATCTAGATCTGAACATCTAGACCAGTACACCTGGACCAGTACACCTAGATCAGAACATCTACACCACTACATCTAGATCAGTATATCTAGACCAGTACACCTAGACCAGAACATCTAGACCAGTACATCTAGACCAGAACAAATAGACCAGTACACTTCGACCAGTACACCTAGACCAGTTCATCTAGATCAGAACATCTAGACCAGATCATCTAGATCTGAACATCTAGACCAGTACACCTAGATCAGAACATCTACACCACTACATCTAGATCAGTATATCTAGACCAGTACACCTAGACCAGAACATCTAGACCAGAACATCTAGATCAGTACACCTAGACCAGAACATCTAGACTAGTACATCTAGATCAGAACATCTAGACCAGAACAAATAGACCAGTACACTTCGACCAGTACACCTAGACCAGTTCATCTAGATCAGAACATCTAGACCAGTACACCTCAACCAGTACACCTCAACCAGTACACCTAGACCAGTTCATCTAGACCAGAGCATCTAGACCAGTGCATCTAGACCAGTGCACCTAGACCAGTGCACCTAGACCAGTGCACCTAGACCAGTGCACCTAGACCAGTGCACCTAGACCAGTGCATCTAGACCAGTGCATCTAGACCAGTGCATCTAGACCAGTACATCTAGACCAGTACACCTCGACCAGTACATCTAGACCAGTACATCTAGACCAGTACATCTAGACCAGTACATCTAG